TACTAAGATCGTGATAAATTTGGCTTACCGTTCGGAATTGGACTTTTTCTGCTTCTTCTTTCAATTTTAGGTATGTTTCTTGTACCCCAAATGATTTGATGAGCTGTGCTTTTATTTGTTCCCATGTTGCCTCGTTGAGTCTCCTAATGGATATCGCCGCTTGCCCTTGGATTTTTCCGAGCAATATCCTCAGTACATATTTTTTGTGTTCTGCGTCGGTTAACATCGCTGTTAAAGACTCCACTTCGTTGATGAAACTGGATACCTCGTAGTGTCCAGTACCAGTGAATTCTGGGACACTTCTGGCTTCCCTTACCACATCACTTAAGGTAAAGCCTGAGAGTACCATTTTATGATTATTATTTTGTATTTTTATATTTTGAAGTGTTAATACAATTCCGTCTAAATCAGAATCGCTCATTAAGTATAAGTAACAGGTTATTTATTTCTTTTTACCGATAAATACTTAAGTAACACTGTTCACTTTTTATAATAATGATAATAACTCGAATACAGTTTTTTGTAATTCACTACTTATTTATTTTATTTATTTTTTTTTTTTCCAAAGTTAATAAAATATTGTTTTCGCGAACTGTTTTTTATTTTTTTATTTTTTATTTTTAACTGTATTTCGATTTGTTATTTTTGTTTTATTATATGGAGCAGTGTCGGTATCCTACCGACTGCGCCACTTTTGTATTATTTGTTATTTTAACAAATCACAAAAAAGTTCCTGTTACTTTTTATTAATTAATTTCCTTTTTCTTCGATTAATTAAAACAATTTTAATATTAATTGTTATATTTTTTTTTTTATTTTTATTTATTAATTTCTTTTTTTTTAATTATTACAAAAACATAAAACTTAATTTAATTATATATCCACTTTTTCAAAAATTATTTAATATTCTTTTTTTTTCTCTCGCTTAATAAAAAAACTTTTTTATTCAAACTTAATTCTTTGACAATCAATTTTCGACTCACTATTTTTAAGAAAGGAAAAATTAAACCAAGTTATAATTTTTCCTTGCTTTTACAAAAAATATTTAAAAACAAAATTTGTTTTTACTTTTTTCTTTTTTTATTTTACATTAGGAAACCAATTTGCTGAAAAGAATTATTTTTTAGATTTTTATTTTTTTAGAAATATTTTCACACGAAATTATTAGATTTTTATTTTTTTTAGAAATATTTTCACACGGAATAGTTTATTAAGCTATAATTTCAATGCATAAATTTTATACAAGAAACAAAAAAAACTATATTAAATGTTTGTAATATTAGATTCTATTTTTATTAGTTATGTAACATAACTCTTAGTACGACGGCTTAAGCCAACATGTGTGATTTAAATAATAAAAAAAAACAAAACGAGAAAAACAAAAAGTATATTTTGAGTTATATTGAAATGCGATATATCATTAGAAAAAGCAAAATAAAGAAGATAAAAGGTATCGCTTAATTAGTATTGAAATTTTGTCTATACTGGAAGAGGATATATAACTGGCACATTGTGATACCTTAAAATTCATAGCGCGATCTCTATTTCTATGGCTATCTCATAGTTTTCGTATAGTGCATTAAATTCTACACGTTAGAAGGCATGATCATATGCTACTGCAGATATATACAGTAAAAAGACGTGTCCTCTCACAGTATACACAGTAAAACTTTTCCAAGCGGATCATACCAAATCTAAACTTTAGCAAATTCCAATTGACATTATCTATTAGAAAGAAGATTAACTACTATGCAGAAACTCGTTCTCATGTGTGCTGAAACACCAGGTAAGCATACAGCATAAGCATACATAAAATACTCCCAGGCTTAAATACAGTTCAGATTTAATTAAAATTAAGTTCGAATTGTTGCTTCACTATTCGAAATTCTTCATGGCTTTTATTAAATTTTCTTGTATGCATAAATCCAAAGAACAGTGCCATTTAAGAATTCTAATAAAATTTTGAATATTTTAAAATTTAATTAAAATTTATTTCAACTAGATTTTCCTCATTCAAAATGCAGAAAAAGTAAATTTAAATTTTTCAATTATTAAAAATTTTATTTTCATATTATGAAAATGATGCATTATTAAAGCTAGAAAAATAAGAAACCAAATTAATAAAAACTAGATATGTACCTCAAATTTAATTTAACCGAGGAAAATAATATTTTTCTTTCTATAAAAAAACTTATTGAATTTATTAAAACTTTAATTTCTATATTAGATTTGTACATAATTATGTTGCAGTTTTCACTCTTATATTTTATAAATAAATCACCTATATATTTAAAATATAATAAAAAAATTGTAATTTTTTCAACTATTTTTTTTTTGGAACAAAAAAAAAAATAAGAAGATAAAAACTGAATAACTGCAACAGAAAATAATTTTCTTCTTAACTTTTTTAATTTTTTATTTAATTAGCTAATCAAATCCCTAATAATTTTTTTCTCTTCATCATTCTTCTTCTTCTTCTTGTTATTATTATTTTTATTTCTAAATTCAAGGATATTTTATATATACAGAAACTTTGCAAGTAATTGCCTTGAAATTGTTGTCTTTATATTTCTATATCCTTCCTTCTTTCTTGAGATTGAGATCAAAAGTTTTCCAATTTCTTTTTTTTTCCATTATATTTTTTTCAATAAAAAAAAAAGGAAGTAAACAAAAAATAGGAATGAAAAATAGGAAATTTTACTTGGTCAAAAGAAATGAAAAACTATATGTAAAAAAAAAAAAGGAAACATAATAAAAAGCAACAAAATATCAACAGCAATAAAATGAAAATCACAACAAAAAAAAAAAAAATAATAAAGAAAAATATACAAGAAAAATTAAGTTAAGCGCATCATGAAAACCTGTAAACATAACTTTAAACTAATATCATTAAAAGTTGAAATTGGTAAGAAAAAGAGTAGATAATGATGAACAAGAAGAAGATGAAGAAGATGAAGATGAAGTAGAAGAAGATAGAATAAAATTGAAAGTTTAAAAATGAGTGCTGGTATATGCAACAAAGTTCTTTTTTTTTCCAAGATGTTGAAAAAATTAAAATAATCAAAAGAAAAAAATTAAAATAAGAAAATTGAAACTATGAAAAATTTTACTGAATTTTTGTAATTTAATTTGAATTTTCATTTTATGAATATATGATTTCCTTATAGAATTTCCCTTTTCTTTTATATATAGTTGCAATTAAAAGGAAATTGAGATTTTTTTTTGGTAAAAATTCCATATATTTTTTAATTAACTGTATAACTTAGTTTTGTTTTAAAGCAATAAATTATTTTCAATTGCATATTGTTGAGTTAAAGTAAGAAATACAAGATTCATAAATTAAAAATTTTCAACAAGAATTATATTTTGAGGTATTTTTATACACTACACCTCAATGAGGGCCTAAAGAGTATATTTGATGAGGAGTTTGTAGCCACTTGAAGGGAGCTGTCTGTAGTATGAACCGCTCCTGCGATAACTTAAAAGCGAAAAGAAAGCAAGTGCTACTAAGCATTCGAAAATTGTTTACTTTCTGCCAAGGATGGCTATTGTTATTAGATCAATTCAAACCGTGAGTTCGGGAAGCAGCCACATATTTAAAAACTATTACTTTTCAAAAACATGTTTTAGAAACAAATATATAGCTAGTTGCGTAAAATTATAATATTCCAAATTCTAAAATTCAATATGTCTAAATAAAATTTTTAAAAGTGCTTTTAAAAAAATTTAAAATTTTTGTTTTACATTGATCTTGCATTGACGATATATAAAATATATATGTATGTATTTTAAATATTAAGGATTTACTTAGTAAATAACCTATCTCATGATCCCAAATTTGTGTCATATGGGTAAGTGTTTTACAACAAGAAGGAGACCATTTTTCACTATCTCTCCCGAAACTGCTCTGCCTAGAGTGTTCGAGTCTGGGTGGGACCATACTGGTAACGTGCCAAAGAGTTTAAGATAAATTCTTTCAAAGAACCAGCTGTCTTAGATAAGCGTCCAGTAATCGTACACCTAATGACGGTCTAGTGATCATGGGATATTGGTAGCAAAACGACGCATTTGTCCTAACCAACCAATCAAGTGTTTTACTCACAGACGAATTTCTTAAGAATATACAGCTTCCGCTCCAAATGGGGTAAAGTTTTGTGTTTACCTCTGTCAAGAAAATTATGTGAATAAATATTTTTAATAAAATAAAATAAAATTTTATAAAATGCTTTAAAAACAGACTTTTTTGAATGACTAAGAAGCATATGGAATATTTTAATGCTTAATCTCTCTCTAGTAAACAAAAAGAACTTATTCTTCTGTATAAATAGAATTAATTCTACTACATTGTCCTGTTTCATGATTCTGGTCAAGTTGAACTTCATTACTAATTCAATTTTATGCATTTTTTTTGTTGTTTATGTATTTTGTACCCATACACTTACACACATTATTTTAACTTTATGTAAAAACTAAAAAGTTGTAATCTTATAGGATTAAAATTAGTCCTCATAAGGTCAGTTTGTTTTTTTAAAAAAGTTTTCTTTTAAGTTATTCAGTTTCAATATTATTTTTTTTTTATAATTTTCTTACCTTATAATATTATTTATGGACATACACGTTTTTGTTATTGTTCATGTTGCAAATTATATACACAAAATTGGAAAGATTTAAATAAGGTGAAAAATATAGACTGTAAACCAGAAGTCCTTCTAGAAAAAGTGATTTTCTAATTTATATTTAACTATAATTACGATAAAACGAGTTTAATAATAATATACTTAAAGAATTCCCTATTAAATTTTAAATTGTACACCTATACGACGGCCAATGCGAAAAATTTTCTCGCGATTCTAGTTGTAAATTGAAAAATCTTAAAGAAATTTTGCAAGCGCAATCAAATCTCTAAAATTTCAATTTCTTCTAAATTATTTTATTTTATTGTTCTCTAAAATAATTAAATATTTTATATAATTTTACAATTTTTTTAATATTTTTTACAGAATGAAGTGGTCATTTCTTAAATATTGTGTCCTATTACTCTTCTTTATGGATGCAGTAGTAGAATCCCAGGTAAAAACAAAACGTGTAATAATACCAACTTATAAGAAGAATGGTCATAATTTTTGGACATTTTTTGTTGCCCTAAAAAATTTAGTAGGAGATGTAAGTTAAATTTTTTCGATTGGTTTATATTTAAAGACTAATATTTTATATTTTACAATGTTCTTTTAAGCAATATGTTGATACAAGGAATACAATAAATCAAGTTAATGATATAGTAAGGGATACTTTTTCAGATACGGCGACAACAACGACACCCAATCCATTTGTAAGTAAACTTTTAGTATATGAAATAAAATTTTTATTCATTTAGTATAAGTTTGGCTCTAAAGTACTAAAATAGTGCTGTATTATATTGAAAATTACAAGATTTTAATTAAAATATTGTACTATTTTAAAGTTGAATATGCCGCACTTTACCGACGGCTGGTTTAAGGTATTGAGAAAGTAAATTGCCGTTTCGTAAATTTATAAAAATTTATTTGGCATACATTTAGTTCAATTGCGGTTTTTAAAACTAGTTTGAATATAAGTACCTCGAATAAGTTTGCAAAGCCATTTATAACATTATAGAATTCAAGAGTGTTTTCGTATTTTTTATATCTAAAATTATTCCAACTTTTGCAATTGGTGTTTCAATATTAATTTATTTAATTTTTTAATTGCTCCTTATACTTAAAATTAACACTGTTCACACATATTCTTCTAATCAATGAAATTCGAAAATGAATAGTAAGTTTTCAATTTTAGTTCTTCTATTTATTTTAAACTGCCTCATATAAAATAGGCAATAACATAGATGTAATTTATTGTAGGAGTATCAATATAAATTTAAAATTTGCATATACTTAGGGGCTATTAAAATTATTTTTTCATTATTCTATTTCTAATAGCTAAATTTAAAATATACAACAGAAATTGTCAGAAATTAATATTATATTATTTTAGGGTTAGAAAATTTAATTTTTAAACAATACTAATAAAACTTTCTGATTAAAAGATTTGAATTTTGATTTTTTTTAAGGCACCTGTCGATAATTCTACATCAACTACAACAGAAAAATATCGGGTTTCAAGATATGAATTTGGACGAATTTTAGGAAGAAATTTCCGTGGATTACAGAAAATTTTCCAAGATGATTTACAGGTGGCGTTAAATGTAAGTTTTATAGTTTTTTTCTATTCAAGTTTTTCTTCCCATATTTTTTATATTTCTTGAAAACCAAAAATTAATTTATTACGGGAAGAAGAATTTTTTTAATTATTTTTTAAATATAGTGAAGATTATCATAAATTTTTTTCTTCAAATTATTCTACAAAAACTCACCACTACTCTATTCTTTAATATTAGAAAGTTGATTAAGAATATAATAAAAAATAGGTATAAAAATTGGCTTATGATTTTTTAAATTTTTCTCAAAAAGGACTGTACGAAAAGTTATAAAAAATCTAAGGAAAAAAAAATTATCTGTTTTTATGATGAAGTAAAACAGAGTGCTCTTTAAGAGAATGCAGAGACTTAATTTTACAAAATCAAAAATGAAATTTTAATAAAATGGTGGCAGGCTTTTTAAATTTTTTATAAATTTTTTGTTTAATGTTCAATATCTTTTAAATTATTTCTTCGCTTGAAGGAGATGAACAACTCTGTAAGGACAGATTTTTGTTAGAAAATCAGAAAATTCACTTTAATTGTCTACAATAAGCTTTTGGGCATTAAAGCCAAATGAAACATTAAAATTCTTTGAATATCCAAAGAATTATACAAAATCACAAACACTTTGTTCCTTAAATATTCTGTCCTACTAAAATTTCCAGTAGCTTTTAAAGAATTTTGCATTTCCTATAAAATATTTGATTTAAATTTCAACTTCTAAATTTTTAATTTTATTATTTTTCAAACATACTGTACACAACAATTTAATATTTTACATTATAGTTCATTATTATTAGGGTGGTACATATAAAAATATATATAAAGATTCATTATAATATTAAACAATGTTCACCATATGGAAATTATTATTTTAAGAAAATATAAAATAGGGCGATGAATTTTATTAGATTTAAAGCACAAAAAAAAATACCAAGTTAAAAACGAAATCTACAATATCCTTAAAATCATTATTCATTTCTATGGCTTTATACAAAATTTAAGAAGTTTGTATACTTAAATTTTTGTTCTGTAAATAATTTCATAAAGTTAGAATAAATTTCTATTTTCATTTATAATATAAAAATTTTTCGAACAAGTGTAAGATTTTAATTATAAATACTGCCTAACTCAGAAAAACTGGCTTCGAAAAAATTAAGTTTAATGGTTAGGATTAAAAAAATTTGCGTTTTTTACTTTTACCTTAAACTTTTTTTTAAGTATTGCTATGGTATTAATGGAAGTACATTAACAAAATTTCGAAAGAATCCAAATGTTTCATCTAATATAGATTTTGGCTGATTGTGTCAGGTTTAAAAGTATTGAGAAATTAGACCATATTATGTAAAACTGTCGGGCAAAGAAGGGGCTAGATGTATAATTTTTTAAAGAATTAACAAGGTGAAGGTACACCTCATATAAAAAATTTTTATGGGAATGAATTAAGTATTATACTGCTGCGCGACTACTTCGGGGTTAACTCAATTAATTTTATAATCCTAAATTATTTTTTTATTTTCAATTTTACTGAAATATTAAAAAATTTCAGATTTTTAGTTTTATCCCAAACAATATAAATTTAATCCTGCGAAAGTATGTGATTAAACGGTGGCAGGCAAAAATAAAAGCAAAATATTGCATGGGAAACGATAACTGAAAAATATTCTGAAATGTTTTTCTCTTGATTTTATTCCTCTCTTAAACTTCAATTTTGTATCAAGTGCCATCATATTATACAATTAACCGTAAAGAGTCTTTTAAAAATCTTGAGAGTTTAAAGAGTTTTTTTTTTTCATCAGCAAAAAATTAAAAATTATAAGAAAAAATTTTTTATTAACCTTTTTAAAATAGAATTTTTTAGTATGTTTAAGAATTATGAAATTTTTTTCTGACTTAAGATGGCTTAAAATTTTTAATTTTGTATAAAACTTATGCAAGTTTCTTTATTAGAAAAGAAATATTATTGTAGTGAGAAGGGAACCCATACCAATTAAATTTTTTTGAGAACAAAATTTTATTTGGAGAACAAATAAAGAAGAAATTTCAGGGCGTCAGAAATTCAAGTTGCATAAAAGGAATAAATTAATTTTGGGCGTCTCTTCTTGCTATTTTCTCTTTTTGATACTTTTGAGGTGTACGCACCTTTCTTTAAATTGCATTAATCCCATTTTTTTTTCTTTTTATTAATTAAATTTATTATACTAAATTTTAATATAATTTTATTTTAATTTTTAGCAAAGTAATACAAATATTGAAGAATATAAAAAGGAATTACAAAATGCAATTGGTACACCGGCACCAAAGAAACGTGGCAAAACAAATGGTAGTCAAAAGAAACGTAGAAAAATTACAACATCTGCTCCAGCATCAATAATTCACTTATAAAATTTATTTAAAAATTTATTCTGAAATTTAATAATTTTTTTAAGGTGATAAAATATTTTACAAATAAAGTATACGTGTATTTTAGTCACAAAGAATAGTCGAAAACAAAAAAAATTATTTATGAGTGTTTATGTAATTGTAATGTATAATAATAAATTCAGCAAATTTTCGAAAATATTTTAAAATTATTTAAAAAATTTTTTATTGTAAGAATTGAAAAATAATTTAAATGACAAAATATTTTCAATCTAGTTCAGTTTTATAATAATTTTAGGAAAATATGGTTTAAATATTAATTTTAAGTACCTTCATCTTTATTATTATTAATTAATTTTTTTGTAAATACAATTTTAGGGTTAATTTAAAAAAAAATTAATGTGTACGTATTGTTATCCTTTAAAATTTTAGTATGTTTTAATAGAAATTTTGAAAAGTTATTGAAAAAATTGCAAATTTAAGTTTCAAAATTAAATTTTCAGAGCAGTACGAAATAAAAGAAATTTTGCATATAAACTATTATTATATGTGAATTAAAATTTGAATTTAAATTTATTTTGACAATACAATTTTGCATTATGATCACAAATTATAATTTTTGATATTTACTATTATCTAAAACATGGTTACTATATTTGAATAAAAATCGCATTAAAAGCTATATTTTGGAATTCCTCCTTTAAGTTGCATTTAAAGTCTCTTTGACGTCCAAAATGCAGTATTACCATATTAATACACAAATTAGCAATTCATAATTATAACCTGAATTGTGTATTAATACCGTATTACTGCATTTTGGAAGTCTAAATTGTTTAAATTGTTAAAGTTCCACATTTATTATTTTTAATTTCATATATAATTGGATTGATTTAAATGTCAATCGGATTAATTTAAATACTCAAAATAAAGAAAAATTTGATACATTCTGTAGTTAACACATTACTTCACAGTTCTATGCACTAAGAGAAGATATCACTTAATAGTATCTAGGGTTTTCTAATCCTTTTTTTTTTAAATATTGTAAATCTACCTTGAATTTGTATAATTTTAATGCAACTGCTTTACAAAATTTTAATTCATGTCACTGCCCTGGTTAGTATGCGGTCAATTTTGCTGTGTGTGATGAAAAAAAACACCATCCCATGATGACACTCCTTGGTGTTGACAGTGAAAATTTTTTCCCTTCATATAAACTCTTAACATTTTTCTGAAATTCATTAAATGAAAATGAATTATAATCGCTCTGTCTAAGCGGTGGCAATTTACTAACCAGGGCAGTGTTCATATAATAATGAACAAATATTTTAATTATAATCAACCGAGTAATTGAATTTCTATTAAATTTTAATAAAAAAATTCAAATTATTTTGGAATAATTGTCTGTACCAAATTTGTATGTATTATTGTCCTTAATATGTCCTCAATTTAGTATACAAATTGCATATTGTAAAAATAACTATTAGGTGATACAAGTAAAGCTTATTGTAATAATATTATAAAATATTCATTATATTTTTAAGTAAAAAAAAAATTTAATTTAAATTTTAAAAAAAATCGCTTTTGTAAGAAATACTCGATTTTTGAATAAAAAAAACATAATTAAGTTTTAGGATTTAGGATATTTAGTGTTGAAAATAAATTAAAATTTTATTTATTTAGATTGTAAGCGTTATAAAATATTAAATTGCTTATTTATTTTTATTACTTTTCGAAATTTGTAAATTCTAATATTAATTTTAAATAATTTTAATAACATTCTTTTTTGTATTATGGTATAAAAATGTGTTTTATTAATGATAATTAGCCTATTACTTCATATTCAAGTTTATTATGAAAATTTAGATAATCTAGGACTTTAATACTGAATGAGAAAATAATTTTATATCAAAAAATACAGAATTTTGACTAATATAACTGAAAACACCCAGAACTTGTTCTTTTAAATAATTTCTTAAACGAAATGCGCCTCATTTAGGCACAATTATGAACAAGATCAGATTATTTTATCATGATACTGATTTAATATCAGTTTTAAGAAATGCGTACTTATAAATTAAAATAGCCACTTATTATAAGAATTATAATAATTTCGTAATTTTGAATTGTATAACAGTTTTATTTGCAAATTACACTAATTATTAGGGACAGCATTAAAATTGCTCCGTTTAAAAATTTAAGATTATTTTTTTTTTGGTTCTAATTAAGATAATTGGAATAATCCTCAATAATTATTATAAAATGAAATAATATTTTACTAAAACAATACCAAGCCGCCCCTCCCCTCCTCCCGCTCGTCACCCTTCAAAATAAATTATAATTCAGTTAAATGACCTCATTAAATAATTTTGAGTATTATAATTTAAGATATAATTTTCACTATGCCTAGTACTTGAATTTCAGTCCAAGAATTTAAGACTTAAGCATTCTTAAACGATAATTTTTAAAGAAGAACAAAATAAAATCTTTTTGTTGATTTTGTGAAAAATTTAAAATATTAACTAATAAAACAATAAAAAATAAAAAAAAAACAAAAATATTAATATCGACATTTTTTTTTATTAATACTTAGGGAATTAAACTTTTCAATTTCATGAAATGTTAAAAAAAGAATAAAGAGAAAAGAAAAAAAAAATTATTGATAAGTTCTGGATAATTTCATAAAATAAATTTAATATTTATTTTTAAACAAAAGTTCATTCACTCATTCAAAATGTTGCTCAATTTTAAAAATATTAAGTTTTAAAAATTGTCACAATGGTCCGTCGGTTTACAATTTCTTAAGAATTAAATTTAATGTTCGACCATATTGACATGAAATTTGTAAAAATCTGCGAGGTACTTAAGAGTTTACTACATTTAAAGCATTTAAATGGAGAACGTAGTTTTGTAACTGGAAAAATGTTAATGAAAGGCTCTAAAATATGTAGCATTTAAATATTATAGTGTATGGTTTCAACATCAAGTTAAGACCCATAACTGGATTCAAAATGCAACATACTTCAGACCAATTTTTCAAAGGTATACAATGAGTCCTTAAATTGTTTAAAATTTTGTAAGCATCTTATATGCTTTACTTCGTAATAATATAAGGTGTAAATTGCATTTCGTTTAAAACATTTAAAAAGTTTCAATAAAAAATTACTCTGTTACAATTGATAAAGAAAAAAATTGCTCCATTTAAATTCTTGTATTTGATTCCAATAAAAAAATTTTCTTTCCTTTTCTTTAAATATTTTGTTTATTTTATTTTTTTATTTCTTTTATCGTTTATTTATTCGCATTTGGCAAAATGTTTTGACCTAAAAAATAAAGCCAATTGATTTGATCCATAAGGGGAAAATAAAAGAAAATTCGAAAATAACTTTAAGAAAAATAAATAATTTATTTTTTTTTTTCTGTGTAAAAGAAAAACAAAAATAAATTTCTGTTTTAGTTTTCAATTTTCATAAAAATCGAAAATCACTTTTTATGACAATCTACACCAAACATAAGTTGAACTAAAAATAAATATGTGAAAACAAAAAATAAAGAAAAAAACACAAAATAAAAACAATGAAAAGAAAGTCCAGAAAAATATTTCAAGAGTAAATAAAGGACTCCTTCATAAGATAGCGAGTAAACAGTTCAGTTAGGTTTGAACTAAAAAGTAAGATTCTAAATTGATTTCTAGACTAACTTAATTTATAAAATTTTCAAAGAACAATTCGAGTATTTATAGTGGAATTCTCGAAAATTTTCTCAATTATAAATTGCATTTTGTTATTTATTTAGATAATCAACATGTCTAACAAACTATTAATTTAGCTAATCAAAGAGTTGATGTCAAATATTGAAAAATATAATGAAAAAATAAAGAATACTACTAAATTGTCAATTTGTCCGAATAACGCCAAATTTCCTCCTGCAAATTGTGCAAAAATTATTTTATCGAAAAATTGATTATTTCAGTCATTACAGAGACATTTTTAGTGGATTCAATCTGAATATTTTAATATTTGTAATATTTGTAGAGAATAGTGTTAACTCTCTATAGGAATGAATTTATATGAAAAGCTAGTAAGTATTATGTAATTTTTCTTATATACAGATAAAAACTTATTGTATAAACTAAAATATGTGACAATTTATTATGTTTTCTACTAGAGTATATATATTGCTACGAGTAATACTAGAGGTACTATACTAGAGGTACATTATTTACCTTTCTATATAGGCTATAGTGTTGTTAGAAGTTCATTTTATATGAGTAGACAATACATCAAGCGTATGACGCGCGTTAATTCCGGTAAATTGCTTTGTTTTCTTATGTCAAAAATAAATCTTTGGCAAATAAATTTAAGTTAAATTTACTTCATCTACAAAACAACGTTTAATATACATTATACTAACTAAATTCAATTTCCCCGGAGTAGTGAGTTTTATTAACGCAATTATTATGTAAACATTTCGCGCTACATCATACACTATCTAATTATGATATGAGTTGGAAGCAAGTTAGTTTATAAAGAATTCATATTTTTTAACTCTATTGAATTAAAATTGGTCTGGAATCTAGAAACTGCTTAGGATTAAAATTGGTCTAGAATCTAGAAACTGCTTTATAACTATGTCATACAGTTAATATTATAGATTAAAGATAGAAATCGAGTTTCACTGTAATTTGTCTTAATTTTGAATTCCTTAAATTTCAACTGGAAGATAAAGGATACGTTTTGTATTACAAACGGAAACGTAAGGCATGGCGTACCACTTTTATTTTTGGTAGTTTCGTTTTAATCTTTTACTTACAGTATTGTCATTCAGTATACGATTCAAAAAGAAAAAGAATTTTAAAAAATTTTATATTTTATTGTGACTTTTACGAAATTTAAAAAAAAAGAGGAGAAAATGTAGTAAAAAATTTTCACACTACTTGTTTTTCTTTACACATTTTATTCCTTTTACATTATACATACTTAAATACAATAACATTATAATATGGTGCCTTTAGCGACAAACAAGACTTTGACTCTATTCATAGGTGTACATACTTTTTGTTATTTCTTTGAAATGCACGTTGTTCTACTACACGCAACTCCATGTATACCCATTATAAGTGTTCATATTGTATATGCATTTACGTGTGTATGTACAGTTGTGCTATTTGTATATTGAAATTATATATAAAAGTATATTGAAATTTTTATGCCAATGTCAACAATGCCAATAAATTCACATATGATTAAACACCGATTA